CGTCTAAGAGCATACAGCGGCACAGCGCAGCAGCCCGCGCGGGCTCCTGGGCTATAGCCTCTCTTTCCCACCTCGCCCCCTCGCTGATAGGCTGAGAACTAGGTCTCGTCTGGGCAGCCAATGAGAAAGTGGATCGAATTCCGACCAATAGAAAACGGCCATAAGGGGGATATGACGCGTTGTTGAGTTCTGACCAATGAAAATACGCGGAGGGAATGCTGCTCATTTGCATAAGACAGCTAGAAATAGGTGGCAAGCGGTTGCTTCTCCGGTAGTTTGCCTCCTCGCTGCTTGAGCTGCTGCTGTTTCTTCTGTCTCTGAGCGCCGCGCGTTCGCTGCGATGCCCGAGCCGGCCAAGTCCGCCCCCGCGCCCAAGAAGGGCTCCAAGAAAGCCGTCACCAAGACGCAGAAGAAGGGCGACAAGAAGCGGAAGAGAACAAGGAAGGAGAGCTACTCCATCTACGTGTACAAGGTGCTGAAGCAGGTGCACCCCGACACGGGCATCTCGTCCAAGGCCATGGGCATCATGAACTCCTTCGGCCGGGCGGGGCGTCGCGCCTGGCGCCCTACAACAAGCGCTCCACCATCACCTCGCGGGAGATCCAGACGGCCGTGCGGCTCCTGCTGCCCGGCGAGCTGGCCAAGCACGCCGTCTCCGAGGGCACCAAGGCCGTCACCAAGTACACCAGCTCCAAGTAGAGTGTCTCGGCGCCTCGCCAAGTTTTAACCCAAAGGCTCTTTTAAGAGCCACCCACCTTTTCAGTAAGAGGGCTGTACTGTCAAATTGATTTCCTTAGTGTGATTTCTTGATTTACAGTCTTGTTTTTTTTAAGTCCCACTTAAGATTAATTTAATTAAAATATTCTTTAGCTTTTTGTATTGGGGAGCATACTGTATTGGGGCACCAAATAACTTGCTGTAACCACTGTTTATGTTTGTAACTAAAGCTATTTTATTATGTTTCTTGGCTCTACTATTCTTAATTTATAGCTCTAGTACCATTTTAAGATTGTGGTGTGTATGTTTCCTGTGCAATACATCGCTATTCTGGGTATGTGTAAGTGATGTGTTGTAGTGTTCTAGTTGGGAAAGGTTCAAAATTACTACTACTGGAAACTTGCCTACATGCATTGTAACTGCTATAACAACATCTACCACCTGATGGTGCTCAGTATTTTTTTTTTCTTTTTTTTTTTAGTAGCAGAGAGGTCTACAGTGCACTGCACTGTAAAAGAATTTAAGTCATAACAAGTGACATAGAATCATAGAACGTTTTGGGTTAGAAGGGACCTTTAGAGGTCATCTAGCCCAACCCCCCTGCAGTGAGCAGGGACACCGCTAACCAGATCAGGTTGCTCAAAGCCCTGTCCAACCTGGCCTTGAATGTTTCCAGGGACAGGGCCTCCACTACTTCCCTGGGCAACCCCTTCCAGTGTTTCACCACCCTCATTGTAAAGAATTTATTCCTTATATCTAGTCTAAACCCATCCTGTTTTAGTTTAAAACCATTACCCCTTGTCCTGTCATGGCAGGTCTTGCTAAAAAGATTGTCCCCATCTTTCCTATAGGCCCCCTTTAGGTACTGAAAGGCCGCCATCAGGTCTCCCTGCAGCCTTCTCTTCTCCAAGCTGAACAAGCCCAACTCTCTCAGCCTGTCCTCGTAGGAAAGGTGCTCCAGCCCTTGGATCATTTTTGTAGCCCTCCTCTGGACCTGCTCCAATAGTTCTATGTCCTTCTTGTGCTGAGGGCTCCAGAGCTGGATGCAGTGCTCCAGGTGAGGTCTCACCAGAGCGGAATAGAGGGTCAGAATCACCTCCCTCGACCTGCTGGCCATGCTGCTTTTGATGCAGCCCAGGGTACAGTTGGCCTTCTGGGCTGTGAGCGCACATTGCTGGCTCATGTCCAGCTTTTCACCCATCAGTACCCCCAAGCCCCTCTCAGCAGGGCTGCTCTTGATCCTTTCTTCCCCCAGCCTGTATTGATGCCGGGGGTTGCCCCAACCCAGGTGCAGGACCTTGCACTTGGCCTTGTTGAACCTCATGAGGTTCACACAGGCCCACCTCTCCAGCTTGTCCAGGTCTCTTTGGATGACATCCCATCCTTCTGACATCTTAATAAGCTGTTACCACTAGCCCAGTGATTAAGGCAACATAGAAGTCCTTTCTAGAATTATTTACCTTTGGCGACTTTCTTAGTAATTCTGCTGTGCATGTGATTTTACAATAATTTGCAGAGCTTTTCCCTAGGACTGCTTCAGGGAGAGAATATTCCTGTTGTACCTAAAAACACAAAGTGGAGATGAGTATTTCATACCTACCTGACTTCTCCTGTATTTGTATGTCATTAATTGTATTAAACCCATTAAAAACAAAGAAACTAGCCACTGTGGGCTGACTTAAACTATCAGAGTTTATCATACAGCTACTAATCAGCTCTAAGGTCTTTCAGCCTCAAACAGCAGGCTGAATCCCTCCATCATGTTATTGGGTAATTAGATACTGCTGTAGGTGCAGATCCAAGCCATTATCACCTTCTTTCAAACTGGATCTGAATAATCCTGAATTCCAAACACTACTGTGGATTTGTGAACACACTTACAGGTCCATTCCAGGGACCACAGAATCATAAAAGTCAACCTTTCTAGTACTGACTGCGTGTTGTTTGGTAGTACAGGTACAGACGCGGGGTCTGGTTCTCTCTTAAATTGGCCACCAGTTTATTCAAGTTAATTTCTTCTTGAAGGCTGATGGGCATTTCTCAGAATGGATTTTGGATATCCAGTGGTAAGAGGCATCCTCTGTATTCAGTTCCCCAGCAGCTTCAAATGGAGTTGAGACACCTGTTCTCCAAGTGCCTTAGTGCAAACTCTGAAACATATTTTGCAAATTCTGGGCCTCTCTATATGTCCAGTACCTAAAAAGATGAATAAAACATAGTATATTCCAGTCTCTAGGTTTTTGTGTAGGAGATGTGTGGGTTGCTAGAAAGGGACTCTGGAAAATATCATACTCTCAGATTTTAACAGTGGTGGTGATACATGGAACAATTTGTCAGTGGCTGTTATTCTCAATAATCAGTCATGTAAAATTCAAACTCAGTTATGTTGTCCTAAAAAAAGACCTTAGTTCAAACTGCAGCTATCACAGGGCAATCCTGTCACCTGAGTTAAAGTAGGAGCTCAGTGGTGCCTTTTGGCCTCCCAGTTCAGGAATCCATAAGCATTCTTTTTGCCTTTCCTGACTTTGTATGCTCTGTGCTGCATGCTTTATTAACCTAGCTTTCACAGAAATTTCAGGGGATTTTTTTTTTAAAGGCTGTTTCAATATGTGAAATTTTTTCTATGCTCATGAAACTCTTCACTCAACAGAAAAGAAAATGTTGCTTATGATTGCTGCTTCCAATCTCAGTCTGAATGATAAGGCAGTATTAGGGGGCTATCTGTGAACACAGCATTTCTATCTGCACACACACATCATCAGATCTGATTCTAATACATCTGGGTTTTTTTCGATCAGTGCTCAGACCAAAGTTTCTGAAATGACAAAAAACAACTACTGGGGAAAATTTTGTGTACTCTTTCTTTTCACCAGAAGTAAAAGTGGTAGGAGTTAGGCTCAGCAAGAATAGCAAACATAACAATTTCATCTCACAGCAAGATGAACATTCAAAATTAATAAAGTCAATAGTGTGAATATAAAAACATATGACAGCATAGTCTTTTCATGTTCTTTAATGTTCTTTCCCATTCAGTTCAAAGCAGTTTTCTTTTTATTCTTAAATCCACTCTACCCAAATGATGTTAACCAGCAACAGTAAGATGGCACAGTAAGTCATCCTGGCTTAGCAGGAATTATGCCACCACCATCTCTAGACCACGGTAGGTATTGTGCAGATGCCATCTCAACAGGGCTTGGCCCTAGGTTCCTGCTCAATGGTGACAAGTCTCCAATCCACTATGTTATTTATTTACCCAATATGCAGAAGAGCTTGAGCTGGGGGCCTCCAGAGAGGGAGCACTACCCCAGATCATGCCCCCACTTATACTCGTACCACCCAGCACTCGATCCCCAAGTTCAATCACTTAAATCTGGTCAGTGGTCTGTTGATTTCTCACTGGTTTTCTTGGTCACTGGGCTGGCTGCCTTCTGCAGTGTCCTAGTTTCGGCTGGGACAGAATTAATTTTTTTCCTAGTAGCTGGCATAGTGCTGTGTTTTGGATTTAGCATGAGAAGAATGTGATAACACACTGATGTTTCAGTTGTTGCTGAGCAGTACTTATACCAGTCAAGGACTTTTTCAGTTTCCCCTGCTCTGCCAGGTGCACAAGAAGCTGGGAGGGGGCACAGCCAGGACAGCTAACCCCAACTGGCCAAAGGGGTATCCCATACTGTACGACATCATGCTCAGGGGGAGTTAGTCAGAGGGGAGAGCGATCGCTGCTCAGGACAGGCTGGGCATTGGTCAGCAGGTGGTAAGCAATGTGCTTTACTTGTTTTGTATATTCTGTATATTCTGTTACCATTATTATTATTGTTATTTTATTATTTTATTTTATTAAGCTGTCTTTATCTCAACCCACAGGTTTTACTTTTTTTTCTGATTCTCTCCCCCATCCCACTGAGGGAGGGGAGGAGTGAGAGAGCAGATGTGTGGTGTTCAGCTGCCTGCCAGGTTAAACCACAACATGAAGTGACCTCTTTCTTTTGGAATTGTTTCCTTGGTCCTCATTTTCTTTGTTCTGCTTGCATCTGCCGCTTTCAGCTAGTTCTGTGTTTGCAGCATTAGTTTTATCAAAAAGTTTACTCTTGGTCGGCTCTTGCAGCCTCAGGCTTTGACTACATTAGCTTCTAGTGTTAAGCAAA